TATTGGATTAAGCGTTATAGGATAAGTAGCTATCTCAACTGTTTCCATGTTTTGATTCTTTACTTAGTTTTAAGGATGGGTGGGGCCAGACCAAGGCTCAGTTCATATAGCATGATTGTGTTTGTCTTTTTATGTCCCATCAATTATACAATATTTGGTTACCTATATGGTGGGATTCTCAAACAATTATTTCCATGGGATTAAGTCCTCTTGGGTGGAGTCAGACCAAGGGCTAATCTTTTTAACACAATTGTCTTTTTTATTCATACACAGCAAGTTTACATTTGTATGTAAGCTATAGATTGAAAATTTGAACAATTTCAAAGACTTAATTAGTCCCTCGGTGCAACTAACCTGCTTTCTAAGCATGAGCCAAGGACGCCTGTGACCTTTAAAAGTAAGTCAAAGTCATTGATATGTGGAATCTACTGTCTAAATATCAAAATGCTGGGCCTTATTGAAGTTGAGAAGAAGATACAAAGAAATTGGTTTCCCCTTAATAGCCCTTGTTGACCTGTGATCTCACCACAATGCTTTAAAATGTTCAACTGGTCAGTCAAACAGTTCTTTAAAATAAGGTTGTTTGAAGGTTTCAATATATTTGGCCCCTGTGACATTGAAAGTAGGTCAAGGTCATTGATATGTAAAAACTATCTAACACTCCAGCTTAGGTATGTACATGTACTGCCTAGATATTACAACATATGCCTCATAGAACTGGAAACAATTATTCTTAAATATAAATCCCATTTTCACATTACTAGTACTCTATCCAAGGTACCTTAACTGGTCAAATATCATGGCCTTGGAGCTTCTGTATCTTTTTTATATCTTCTATAAGTTTTAAAAGCCTTGTACAACCATTTGGGTTATTTATATTAACATAATTATTTGTGTCTTTTTCTGGGTCTAAAACTAAATTGAAGTCACCACAAATAATACAATTGGGGTTATTATAACTAGTAATTTGTTCATATATCTTTTCGTAAAAATCTGGTTCATCTCTATTTGGACCATATACATTTATTAGTGTGAATCTTCTTTTTTCAATTCTTATATCAAGAATTATTATATTACCTTGTATGTCTTTCCATCCGTTATGAATATCAAATTCAACATTATTATTAAAAAGTACACAAACTCCCCTTGAATTATTTCTGTATGAATTAAAAAATACATATATATCCCCATTGTAGCCCTATTTCTTGTTCCTGCTCTACTGTAAAATGAGTATCCTGAAGACATAAGATATTAAAATCTTTATAGTTATTTTTTAGGTAGTTAAAAACATTGTTTCTCTTTTCTTTTTGCCCTAATCCTCTACAGTTTGCAGATGCTATTTTGATGTCATTTGACATAACATAATGAATTTACTATTATCATTTCTCTCTGGTGTTTAAAAGATGAACGACACGATGAAATAAAAGTAATATAACCAGAAAAGAAAAGTACTATACGGTTATACTGTAGTTGTTACTTATATTGTCTATACATAAACTGGCACTACAAACAGATAAACATAAAAATAGTACATAAACTAGGCATACAATCGCACAACCGACCAACAAACATTTAAATATATATAAAACTAACATGAAAAAACCCACACAGAAACACAAACGAGGTCATGATCTAAAATGACTGTATAGATTTCCGCAAGACGGTTACTAATGAAGGGGAGATAAAAGAAACACCAGATAAAAATGCACTTGTATGTGTACAGCATTTTTTTTATATTTGAGCCATGGAGTAGAAATGCTCACATGTAGGAATTCTTAAAAAATATACATGCACCTATACTGTCAGTAGATACCCATTTCATACATGTAAACTGTTACCTGTCCTTTAAATATTCTGCCGATACCGCCACCTTATAGACATCTAGTCTACGTCCAAAAAAACACGATAATTTGTCCGGAAAGCATGGATGGTATGAAATATTCTGAACGGACAACGGTGTGTCCGGATTTGTTTAATGCCTATACAAAAATAAATAAACTAAAATAAATTAAATCAAAGTATTTTTAAGTTTGTACACATACATTATATAAATGCACTGTAACTTGACTTTCAGATTTTCAATAAGGAATTGTATGAAGGGCGTATTTACACAGATATATGTTTTTTCTGTATTAAGGTAGAAAACAAGGGAGATAACAGCTCAATTCTGTATCTTAAGAAGAAGATTCTTACAGATTAAAACCTGTGCTGACCCTTTCTCTAAGTTGACCTCTGTAACCTTGACATGATAATTAAGAACAAGTTTTCACACTGCTCAGTGATTTTTCAACAGGGGTCTGTGCCTATGGAAAAATATCACCATCCCCCGCAAACAATCAACATTATATTGGAAAACAAAGTGATTTTTGTATTGATTTTGGGAAATTACAGCAGAAATTATCTGAGGGAAGGAGACTTTTAATGCCTACAATAAACCTTACACAATTACTTTTGCTAGTCTGTACGACATACATACATACAAGCAACATCATGGCTCTTGACCCTTTTGTTCTTCAGATAATGTTGTTTGAAGTTTTTGCTGTAACACACTTTACCAATATGACCTTGAAAGTTAAATAAAAATGAAAACAAGAAATAAAACACAGAAGTCCTTAACATCTTGTAATTAAGTGGTTAATAAAGTAATATTTTGGTGAAAATGTTCACAAGCCCTCTTCATCCTTGTCAATCCTCCCTATTTTGGAGGGAGACTCCTGATTTGCACCTTCAATTTTATTTTGAAATCAATAAAAAGAAAATAGCAAGTGTTTTGAATGTGTTTTCTCTCCTAAAATACCAATGAATAGCTGAAAAATGCCTTCTTTATTTTTCACAATGATGCATGAGTGATCTCCCTTACAATGTCATAAACCAAATTACAGCTAACAGCTGAAATAGAAGAAAATATCCCCACTCCAACTTCAACTTAAAAAAATTCATGTAGTTAACAAAATTTAATTTTACATTTACATGCTTTATACTTTTTACAATTAATACAAAATCAAACTGTCAACAATTATCAAGTGTGGGTTTGTGTTGCTCCACTAGTGGCTTATAGCACTGCAAACCAACCTGTTGGTATTGATAAAAGGGAGATAATTCAACTACATGTTTGTCACCAAATTGACAATAGATGGATAAGAATTGGTTGAATTTATCAACTAATGACAAAATAACTCAACAAATAATCTTGGCTGAGCTTGTGTAAGATGTCATGTCACAGCTGTGTTTGTGCAAGATGTTATGACACAAATGTGCTTGTGTAAGATGTCATGACACAGATGTGCTTGTGTGAAATGTCATGATAGTCATCTATGCTTGTGTGAGATGTCGTAACACAGCTGTGCTTGTGTAAGATGTCATGTCACAGCTGTGTTTGTGCAAGATGTTATGACATGACACAGCTATGATTGTGTGAGATGTCATGACACACCTTAGCTTGTTTGAGATGTGATTTTTTGTGGGTTTTTTTTGTTTAAATACAACAACTTTTAGTTTTGGTCAGGCATGTCTGGACCCATTGAAGCAGTACTAGTACCTCAACTGGATATATGCAAAAACAGCCTATATTTATATATTTTTATAATTCTATGTATTGTTTATGAAGTCAGCCAGTACACTGGCACTCTTGTTAATTTGAGAATAAAAATATGATATGTACATAGTTCTAGGGATAGTGCCAACACTGTTACTATAATTGTTTTTTTATTAGTTATGAAAACAATGTTTTACAACTAATACATTTTTTTTATCCTGAGCTCACTTTTTGCAATTGACATCTATACTTATAATGATATATACATGATACAACATACATGTAGATACTCTCTAATAATATTTATATTTAGTATTTATTTCATAGCTGTCAACTCTCCCTCATTAGGAGGGAGACTCACTCATTTTGACCAACATTTATCAATCTCCCTCGAAACTCCCTCATTCAAGTCCAAACTCAAATTCTACATCCTGTGACTGGTCAAATGATCTAATTGCAGGGTGTGTGTAATGATCATAACAGGTGTGTCTGAATCAAATGAATGCTTTTTGGAGTTATTTTGATACATAAAAAGGGAAAGATAAATTGAGCAAAGCAGTATCAGTCGCACTTCATGCACTTTCTTCTTCATTTAAGAAAAGTGGAATGATCAAGGGAAGTTTCTTCCCTCGTTGGAGGTTTCTATGTTATATTGATATATATATTTGCATATATATATATAAAAGAAATTATATGAACACTTTCTTAATAATTGCCTATTACTTTCATCTCTTAAGAGGTTAATCAGGGGATAATTTAGACTTTTATGACTTTAATTCATGGATCCATTGAATTAAATTAAGGGACCCAATATCGTATATAAAGTCACACTGTGACCAGTTTGATAAATATAAAGGCCCACATTAATTTGGATATCTTACAACTGTGATGTTTCGATAACCTTATTTTTTATGAAAGGTGTAATATAAAATGTTACCATTGATTAGTGATGATTAACAACTTATCACAGGTCAGATTGAACAAAATGAAATCTAAACATAAAATTCGATCTTAAAACTTACTACAAGCTGACAGCTGTAAAACAGGAATATAAAGTGACAGATGATCAACTTACCGGTTTATAAACCGTCTTCAGATGATGTTCACAATGATAAGAGTAGCAATGTATTTTCTGCCCTGGAATGATGGTTCGTGTGTTTTCCTTTTTATTATCGAGTAGCCTCCCCTACCGGAAATAAAACATTGCTAGGGAAGCTTGACTTCGCGGAGCTATCAATTTTCTTCCGATTCGACCGTAATTTGCTTATTTTTATTAATACAAGCTTAATTGCTCTTATTCTAATGATATTTTGAGATGTTGAGTTGGTGATATTGGTAAACATTCATCCTTTTTGTCACTATAAATTAATTAATTACTCTGTGTTTTGATCTCCATGTGACGTCACATTGTTTCACAATGGCGGAAAGAGAAAGATTGCCTATCTGATAGCAACGAATTTTGTAGGTTTCAGAAGCCATTCTGGAGTTTTGCTCGCCTGTAGCGGCATAGGCGAGCAAAATGTCGTCTCTTCTTTGCCTAAAGCAAGACGGTGGAAGTGTACACGTTCATGACAATGACGTGATCCGGGAATTAGCTGTGGACAGTCAGGATCACACTATGACTGCCGTAAGTTGTCAGAGTGACTGTCAATAATGTCGGTAACGTTAGGAAAGCGTTATGATTTTAGAAATAAATAGGCCTACCGTTATTTTAACGATTTAACTTAATTAATCATGAAACACCATTTCTGGCGTATGATCACCTAAATAAAATAATCGTACATTTATTAATATTCCAGTATACTACATGTAAATGTACTCTATGTATAATTACGTCATTGATATGTCATCCAGATAATGAACAAAATAGAAACGAAAGGACGAAAGTCAAGACAGGGTGCAGAAACCACAAATGGAGATACAGGGATGGACTCCCAGAGTCTGATTGGACAGACGATGAGGGTACAGGACTGGCTAAATGAGAAAACAGTGAAAGGACTACAGGTGTGTAATTAGTGTTCAAACAATTTCATTAAATGATGATCTTTAATTTGAAGCATCTTGACACTAAACCTTAAAAAAATAATCCCCAAAGTTCCCACTTTAAATGCACATCATGATTTTATATCTATAGAAGTGATGTTTTGTGATATATATCACATGCATTGTTTGTTTTACACATCTTTGTATTTTGATACACTTCTTTACTTTATTTATAATAAGCCAAGTGTTATTGTCATAATAAAAGGGTAAAATTGGTACTGGGAAACTGATCTGAGTTAGAACTATCACAGTATACTTGAACATAAGTACTCATTATCTTTAGCAAGACGATTGAGGACACTTACATGGCAGAAGAGAATCCATTTTAATTACTTAAAGGTTGATCATAATATTTGATTGGTTGTAGAAATATTAACAGCTTGATATCAAATATATTTAAATGAAATATTATCAGTGGTTATAGAATCTTTTTGATTATGTAATAAGTATCATTTAATTCATTTGTTGACATATGCATATATTTAAGCTTACCTCGCTGATCAGTATGATGTAATCCAATAGCATCTCAGTTTCTTATACCCTCCTTATATACTTAGAAATGATTTTCAGTTTTCTTTTCTGTGAAATAGAATGTTTCCATTCAAAACTTTCCTTATAGCCGATAGTATACATAGTTGTCTGACTGCCAATATTATTAAATTTGGCTGGAATTAAATTGTAGAAGTTAATTTCATAATCTATTTCTAATTCCTCGTTTCATAATCCAATTGTCTGAAGAAAAATAAAGTTTAGATATATATGTACAAAATTAAATTTGAACATGTAGCATCTTTCATCTTACAATTTACATTTAGTAGTTCCTTTCTTTGTTTAATGTTCTTTGGAATTTAATCTTTAGAGCATTGAATTCTATGCTTTTCCATATGTAATCTAGTATATTTATGAATGAAATATGTCTGTTTAGTGTTGGAAGGAAATTTATTTTCTGTTCACAACCTGTTTCTTTATAATTGTTGAACACATTTAATTATTTTCTCAATGTTTCTCACATACAAATTGTTGCAGAATTCATATATGTTGTAAACTTTCAGTATTTGCAGCACAACTGCACAGTCATATTTTATATTACAGTTCTCGATACCCAATGCATGGTTAGAAAAACAGGTACAATATGTATAAGAATTCTGTCTTTTCCTTCAATTTACTATATTAGCTTGTAGTGATCCTCTGTGCTTACTGACTGTAGGGAATACAAATCTGACCTCCTATGAAGCTGTTTAATTGTGTTCTATCATAAACACTTTATCATAAAGTTACCGTTCTATGTTCTTCAAACCAATGTTATCACAACAATATGAATCGGGACTGTTATGCACCATTAATGTCTATTGTATCTTCAATATATTTGAATTTGAAAGTCTTGTAACACTAAACTTTAAATATTTGATACATTTATCATTTCATTTTCCTATTGATAATCTCCTCTCTAATTTATTATTAAATATTCTTATCGTGAAATTAACCTTAATTTATGGCTGTATTTAAACAGTTGTCTGTTGTTAATCAGCAATATTAGTTACACTACATGTATTGAACTGAAGGCATTTAAGCCACAACTCCCCACAATCAGTGAACAGAGATCATGATGTAGATCCCCCGGGATACAGGCTTGGGTTCACTTACTTACCAACAAATATATAAATAACTGGACACAAAATGACTGACGTATAGGTCCTTGTTACTTTCCACCCGTATATATAGCAGGGTCTTCTGTTGTACCTCACCTTGTGCGACCTTATTGAAGCGGTCTTCTCAAAGGTCACTAATATATTACTATTGTGTCCGGCACCTGTGGGTCTGCTTCAGATCACTTGCCAGGGCCAGTAGAAGGGGTCTTTGGACCTATGACTCACTGTATCGCAACTCACAAACTTGTGCACGGGATATGTATCTAAATATATCAAAATAGCATGTACAGAACTGAAGTTGTAACCAGTAATTGTATGGACTTGTGCGGGTGTAATTACACATGTGTAACTAGGAGTCACCATGTTGTGTGTCACATGCACTGTATTGCGCTTCTCTTCTCTACTAGGAATTGAAATCTAAAAACAGATCTGTCTCCTCGGCAAAGAACAGTTTGTGTGGTGAAGGGGTAATCTGTCTTTCATTAGCATGATTCTTCTTGATGTTATTTCCGTTGTCTTTTGTTTATTTTGTTGTTGTTTTTAATTCTTTCATTTTCTTTGTGAAACTATTTGTATTAATTGGTGTCATTTTGATATTTATATTAATAAAATAAAATAACGACTGTTTTCGCATGTCAAGTTTTGTTGCGTGCAGGTTTTGTTGTTCATTAACTTGTTGATGGTTTCTAACGAGAAGGTTTTGATTGATAACTTCATTATCTTGTGAACTTTGAAAATAACACACTGTAAGGACTTTAAGATGGAGTTAATCAGCTGCATATGTCGTGAATACACTTTCAAATGTAGTCATTGGCAGTCCTGTCTAGATACTTTTGAGGCCACTACGGCTATACAAACTATAATTACCCTCCCTTTGATGTTTCTACCTATTGTTCTCAATATGTATGCGTTCAGGGAACACACCATCTCCTTGTAAACATTTTTTTTTGTGTTGATAACGAACAATAATGATTTGTGTTAAACTGTGTGAAAAGGTCATGCCATTCTTCATTTGGAAAACACAGGGTAATTTAGCACCCATGTTGTCTTAAATCACACAAAATATGATTTTATGTAATCTTGAGTCAAATTAATCTTTAATTCTTGATCTGAGGTGAAAATCACTCACTAACTTATTTAAATAAGTGTATGTTTTACCAGCTGATTGTATATTGGATAATTCTTAAGACATGATATACCTATTTAGGTTATATTCACATCAAGTTCATACACTTCGCATTTATCCATGATAGTCGTAAATACCTGCTTGTATTCTACAGTTATCAAAAACATTTATATTTATGTATTGTTTCATGTCATATATTGTCAGACAGTAGCTAGCTTGCTTTTCATGTAAGACAAGTTTATGAAAAATATCTAGAAGCTTTTAAATTAAATTTACCGGGTAGTATTGATTCAACAGTTTTGTTTCCAAAAGAAAAGGAAGCCATTAAGGCTCTGTATTTATTTGGATGAACAAGTATTAGGCTATTTTATACTTAGAATTCAGGCCTGATGGCGGTACTGGTACTCTACGCATGCAATTGGAAGCATTTTTGTTTGGTTACCAGCTTATTTTGTAATGCAGATTTTAGATAGATGTATAGTCTTTTTCACCAGATATAGAATTCATGTGAACACTTAATTTGGTGTTATGGTATTGAGGTGTTTGGTTAACATTTTATTAACACATGTCACAAGTTGCTAAATTGTTGTTTTTACATATTTGTGCAATAATATTCAATAAATTCAGAGATTTCTATGAAATATTAATATAAAGTGTTTAACTTCATTTCAGAAACATTTTAATCTTGTACATACTCAGTGGTTTAACAGTGGTAATCTGGATGGAGTTGTTCATTATGCTTATTATGATTGGTTAAATGATTTGTTTGTAAAACAATTTATGATTTGATTGTTGATGAATAACCAAGGTGGTAGAACTGATGGGTGGTGTTGGAAAGTAGACATACATACAGCCATACAGTTAGATTACAGAATGATGTTAAAATAATTCTTACATTTTTATCCACTTTAAGGAGAAATCAGATATAGAGACCAGAGAAGCTCGCAAGCTGTACGAACCTCTCCTGCAGACTGAGGACACTTTTGTCAAGGTACGAATCAGGGTCATCTAATCAAAAACATGCAAACTGAAGACATATGGTATCATCAAGATGTCAATCAATTTTAAATTTTAAAATTCTTTTTATTGGGATTAAATTTTCCTCATAACAGCCAGGGTCACATGAAGACATCTCACCTTCATCACATTGAAGTCTGGAGGGGGACACCTCCCCAATAAAAAATGTAAACCTGGACTCACCCCTGCTTGCAAGGAATAGGGGACAGGACAATGTACCATTGGCTGTTACTGGTGGTCACCAAATCAACCAACAACGGTCTAGGGTGGAATAGTTTTGTTGACATTAGTAACTGTTTATCATTACTTAGGGGCCTTGTTGTTTACAGATCTTAAGACTATTCAAAGGATGTAAAGATTGCTAGCCAACACACTATACTTGAGCTATTCCAGAATATTTGATTTTGACTGAAACTTCAAATGATATGCTAATTTTAGGAAGTTTTCAAATAAGCTGGTATTGAATCAGACTAAAAGCTAATTGGATTTTGAGGTTTGTTGTAGTGACATTCGTAAATGTGCTGTATTGCCCAGGACTATATATAATTATTTATATAACTATAGTATAATTAGTTTGCCATTCTGACTTACTCTCCCACAGAACAGAGTGGAGTTAGATCTTATCAGTAGACTGTTAAACCTTGTCCCACACATAACCAATACACCCTTAATACTTTACCCAGAGTTATACAATAGGGTCTGTCTGCACTCAATATTCTACATTATAATACACCCACCATTTGAAGTGTGATTGTTTTCCTTATTCATTCACACTTACGATTAAAAAGAGTTTTTTCTTATACCAGTACATTCACAAAGATATTTAGAAAATGTTTACACTCTGTGTTTATTGTACATTTGACAATAACAAGGCCAGTCAGTTAAAGGTACATGTGTATTAACACACCCTTGTTACATGTGTATTAACACACCCTTGTTACATGTGTATTAACACACCCTTGTTACATGTGTATTAACACACCCTTGTTACATGTTCAAAGAATTTAATTTTATTTGAAAAATCTCATTTAGCTTTCCAAACAATATTCCCCAGGGATTTGAAACAAATGAATCTGTCAATTATAAAAAGTCATGATCTTACTAAATAAATATCAGATTGGTGATACAAATGGTACTCAGTAAAGAGTTGTTGATTGAACCATTGTTTGTGAGTAGAACCTGGAAGAATACATCACTTACAAAGATGTCATGGAACAGAGGAAGAAGGAGATGCTCCATAAGAAATGGAATGACCGGGTATTTGAGCCCCTCAGAAAGAATATTATTGATGCTATGGACAGTGACGATTGGCCAGAACTTGACCGGCGGAAAAGGGAACTCCACAAACAGTACCTGGAGTTTACCAATCAAAAGGTAGGCACCTCTGGTCTAAAGGTAGGCACCTCTGGTCTAAAGATCTACCAGTACTTATATGTATGCCATTAATTGTACACAATGCAAAGCACATTACTATGTGATTTTTCATTATGGCTACAGGAACACACATGACAATGGATCTATTATATAGTGTTTTACTTGTTTCTTTGCCATGTTAAGTGACACTAGCTCTGTGATTTGACCTTGACTATGATGACCTTCATGACCTCTGTTTTTAATAGGGACATGTGTTTTTGGACACAATGGATCCAGAGGAGTACTACGCCCAGGCACTGAATGGCCACCGTCCTGCACCCATCAAGGTAACAATTCTCAGAATGTATTCAAGTCAACATAAAGTACAGATACTTGATGATGAACTTTTTAAATTTTTCATTGTATTCTTTTAAGTTTTAAGAATGACATTCAAAACATTAAAATAAATAAAAAAAAATCAACTTATTTGTGTAGCCAATCATAAATGGTGTTTATATAATAATGTTGAAGTGGTACACCATAGTAATTGAAAAAACAGATGGAGAAAGTTATCTTTATGCTCTATTGTGGGCATGACAATTATGAAGCATTTATAAAAAGGAACCTGCAGACAGTGTTTTACCTATGTTATAAAGTAATCGTATATATGGTCTCAGCATGCATGTGCTAAATGGGACAAGCGGATAGCAGCAGCCAAGAAACACTTTGACCACCAACATTACAAGGTAACAGGTCAATTGTGCTGCCTGTCCACCAGTGCTTCACCTGACCTTTGACCTCTAACCTGTGACCCCCTCACCCACGACCTGAGGTCTTTCAAACACATACACACACCATTTGTTGTGTTTTGATATATTTTGATGTTTTGAAATTTCACATTGCTGCAAACTTCCCTGTAAAACTGGTATATCCTCTAAAGTTTCCCTGTTTGATTGTCCAATTCTTCACTGAAAAATCTATGGTTTACTGGTGTTTTACCAGCTATTTAACATTTATATCTTTTTCTCTATATCTAAAATCGCACTAAAATGTCTTTTCGCGCCTCTGGTCCCTACTAAAACATTGTATGAGCTTGCTGTTTATGATAACTGGTAGTTACATGTGGCACAAGTGTATCTTTTACCAAAGAATGTGTAAAATCACAGGTGTGCACATGTGTAGGTGTGTGTATAGAGATGTGAACAGGTACTTGTTTAGATCACCTAATTGATGCATGTTATAGAAGTAAGTGTGGAGTCATGCATGAGACTTGTCAGTAGTCTGGTGAAGAGTAGCAGTAGGATACTCTAGACACAATCTCATGTTGATTTTAATTGATTCTTCATAATTTATTCATGTTTTAAAGGTTCCAGATTGTCAAGTTAGTTTTTTTAACAGGTGATTGTTTGGTTATCTACCATGAACAGAGTAGAATGAGACTACCNGACAGACTGGGGGAGGGAATGTCTGGATTTAGACAGACTGGGGGAGGGAATGTCTGGATTTAGACAGACTGGGGGAGGGAATGTCTGGATTTAGACAGACTGGGGGAGGGAATGTCTGGATTTAGACAGACTGGGGGAGGGAATGTCTGGATTTAGACAGACTGGGGGAGGGAATGTCTGGATTTAGACAGACTGGGGGAGGGAATGTCTGGATTTAGACAGACTGGGGGAGGGAATGTCTGGATTTAGACAGACTGGGGGAGGGAATGTCTGGATTTAGACAGACTGGGGGAGGGAATGTCTGGATTTAGACAGACTGGGGGAGGGAATGTCTGGATTTAGACAGACTGGGGGAGGGAATGTCTGGATTTAGACAGACTGGGGGAGGGAATGTCTGGATTTAGACAGACTGGGGGAGGGAATGTCTGGATTTAGACAGACTGGGGGAGGGAATGTCTGGATTTAGACAGACTGGGGGAGGGAATGTCTGGATTTAGACAGACTGGGGGAGGGAATGTCTGGATTTAGACAGACTGGGGGAGGGAATGTCTGGATTTAGACAGACTGGGGGAGGGAATGTCTGGATTTAGACAGACTGGGGGAGGGAATGTCTGGATTTAGACAGACTGGGGGAGGGAATGTCTGGATTTAGACAGACTGGGGGAGGGAATGTCTGGATTTAGACAGACTGGGGGAGGGAATGTCTGGATTTAGACAGACTGGGGGAGGGAATGTCTGGATTTAGACAGACTGGGGGAGGGAATGTCTGGATTTAGACAGACTGGGGGAGGGAATGTCTGGATTTAGACAGACTGGGGGAGGGAATGTCTGGATTTAGACAGACTGGGGGAGGGAATGTCTGGATTTAGACAGACTGGGGGAGGGAATGTCTGGATTTAGACAGACTGGGGGAGGGAATGTCTGGATTTAGACAGACTGGGGGAGGGAATGTCTGGATTTAGACAGACTGGGGGAGGGAATGTCTGGATTTAGACAGACTGGGGGAGGGAATGTCTGGATTTAGACAGACTGGGGGAGGGAATGTCTGGATTTAGACAGACTGGGGGAGGGAATGTCTGGATTTAGACAGACTGGGGGAGGGAATGTCTGGATTTAGACAGACTGGGGGAGGGAATGTCTGGATTTAGACAGACTGGGGGAGGGAATGTCTGGATTTAGACAGACTGGGGGAGGGAATGTCTGGATTTAGACAGACTGGGGGAGGGAATGTCTGGATTTAGACAGACTGGGGGAGGGAATGTCTGGATTTAGACAGACTGGGGGAGGGAATGTCTGGATTTAGACAGACTGGGGGAGGGAATGTCTGGATTTAGACAGACTGGGGGAGGGAATGTCTGGATTTAGACAGACTGGGGGAGGGAATGTCTGGATTTAGACAGACTGGGGGAGGGAATGTCTGGATTTAGACAGACTGGGGGAGGGAATGTCTGGATTTAGACAGACTGGGGGAGGGAATGTCTGGATTTAGACAGACTGGGGGAGGGAATGTCTGGATTTAGACAGACTGGGGGAGGGAATGTCTGGATTTAGACAGACTGGGGGAGGGAATGTCTGGATTTAGACAGACTGGGGGAGGGAATGTCTGGATTTAGACAGACTGGGGGAGGGAATGTCTGGATTTAGACAGACTGGGGGAGGGAATGTCTGGATTTAGACAGACTGGGGGAGGGAATGTCTGGATTTAGACAGACTGGGGGAGGGAATGTCTGGATTTAGACAGACTGGGGGAGGGAATGTCTGGATTTAGACAGACTGGGGGAGGGAATGTCTGGATTTAGACAGACTGGGGGAGGGAATGTCTGGATTTAGACAGACTGGGGGAGGGAATGTCTGGATTTAGACAGACTGGGGGAGGGAATGTCTGGATTTAGACAGACTGGGGGAGGGAATGTCTGGATTTAGACAGACTGGGGGAGGGAATGTCTGGATTTAGACAGACTGGGGGAGGGAATGTCTGGATTTAGACAGACTGGGGGAGGGAATGTCTGGATTTAGACAGACTGGGGGAGGGAATGTCTGGATTTAGACAGACTGGGGGAGGGAATGTCTGGATTTAGACAGACTGGGGGAGGGAATGTCTGGATTTAGACAGACTGGGGGAGGGAATGTCTGGATTTAGACAGACTGGGGGAGGGAATGTCTGGATTTAGACAGACTGGGGGAGGGAATGTCTGGATTTAGACAGACTGGGGGAGGGAATGTCTGGATTTAGACAGACTGGGGGAGGGAATGTCTGGATTTAGACAGACTGGGGGAGGGAATGTCTGGATTTAGACAGACTGGGGGAGGGAATGTCTGGATTTAGACAGACTGGGGGAGGGAATGTCTGGATTTAGACAGACTGGGGGAGGGAATGTCTGGATTTAGACAGACTGGGGGAGGGAATGTCTGGATTTAGACAGACTGGGGGAGGGAATGTCTGGATTTAGACAGACTGGGGGAGGGAATGTCTGGATTTAGACAGACTGGGGGAGGGAATGTCTGGATTTAGACAGACTGGGGGAGGGAATGTCTGGATTTAGACAGACTGGGGGAGGGAATGTCTGGATTTAGACAGACTGGGGGAGGGAATGTCTGGATTTAGACAGACTGGGGGAGGGAATGTCTGGATTTAGACAGACTGGGGGAGGGAATGTCTGGATTTAGACAGACTGGGGGAGGGAATGTCTGGATTTAGACAGACTGGGGGAGGGAATGTCTGGATTTAGACAGACTGGGGGAGGGAATGTCTGGATTTAGACAGACTGGGGGAGGGAATGTCTGGATTTAGACAGACTGGGGGAGGGAATGTCTGGATTTAGACAGACTGGGGGAGGGAATGTCTGGATTTAGACAGACTGGGGGAGGGAATGTCTGGATTTAGACAGACTGGGGGAGGGAATGTCTGGATTTAGACAGACTGGGGGAGGGAATGTCTGGATTTAGACAGACTGGGGGAGGGAATGTCTGGATTTAGACAGACTGGGGGAGGGAATGTCTGGATTTAGACAGACTGGGGGAGGGAATGTCTGGATTTAGACAGACTGGGGGAGGGAATGTCTGGATTTAGACAGACTGGGGGAGGGAATGTCTGGATTTAGACAGACTGGGGGAGGGAATGTCTGGATTTAGACAGACTGGGGGAGGGAATGTCTGGATTTAGACAGACTGGGGGAGGGAATGTCTGGATTTAGACAGACTGGGGGAGGGAATGTCTGGATTTAGACAGACTGGGGGAGGGAATGTCTGGATTTAGACAGACTGGGGGAGGGAATGTCTGGATTTAGACAGACTGGGGGAGGGAATGTCTGGATTTAGACAGACTGGGGGAGGGAATGTCTGGATTTAGACAGACTGGGGGAGGGAATGTCTGGATTTAGACAGACTGGGGGAGGGAATGTCTGGATTTAGACAGACTGGGGGAGGGAATGTCTGGATTTAGACAGACTGGGGGAGGGAATGTCTGGATTTAGACAGACTGGGGGAGGGAATGTCTGGATTTAGACAGACTGGGGGAGGGAATGTCTGGATTTAGACAGACTGGGGGAGGGAATGTCTGGATTTAGACAGACTGGGGGAGGGAATGTCTGGATTTAGACAGACTGGGGGAGGGAATGTCTGGATTTAGACAGACTGGGGGAGGGAATGTCTGGATTTAGACAGACTGGGGGAGGGAATGTCTGGATTTAGACAGACTGGGGGAGGGAATGTCTGGATTTAGACAGACTGGGGGAGGGAATGTCTGGATTTAGACAGACTGGGGGAGGGAATGTCTGGATTTAGACAGACTGGGGGAGGGAATGTCTGGATTTAGACAGACTGGGGGAGGGAATGTCTGGATTTAGACAGACTGGGGGAGGGAATGTCTGGATTTAGACAGACTGGGGGAGGGAATGTCTGGATTTAGACAGACTGGGGGAGGGAATGTCTGGATTTAGACAGACTGGGGGAGGGAATGTCTGGATTTAGACAGACTGGGGGAGGGAATGTCTGGATTTAGACAGACTGGGGGAGGGAATGTCTGGATTTAGACAGACTGGGGGAGGGAATGTCTGGATTTAGACAGACTGGGGGAGGGAATGTCTGGATTTAGACAGACTGGGGGAGGGAATGTCTGGATTTAGACAGACTGGGGGAGGGAATGTCTGGATTTAGACAGACTGGGGGAGGGAATGTCTGGATTTAGACAGACTGGGGGAGGGAATGTCTGGATTTAGACAGACTGGGGGAGGGAATGTCTGGATTTAGACAGACTGGGGGAGGGAATGTCTGGATTTAGACAGACTGGGGGAGGGAATGTC